CAGCAAGTCGTCAGCAATTTGGTCCATTGAGGGGAAAGTGAATCCCTCGGGTAGGTCTGGGGCGTCAAACTCCTGGCCGGGTAGGTCCACGTGAATCCAAACGGAACGGGCCTTAAGTTTGGCCATACATGGGTGTTCAACCAGCTTATGAAACTCGGTGTCTATTTTGAACGCATACGATATATTTATATATTATTCAGTACTTGTTGGTTACACAGTATTGTTCATATTTTTAATTAAATATAAATTTTTTATCAAAATCATTCATTTGTTGATAATGGGTAGCAAACAAAAAACTATAAAAACTATGAATTAATTATATAATAGCTTACGGTTAGATCCCAAATCATGAACAGTCATGAATACAGGAGTTGTTAGTGTTATGCTAGCGATGTTACCCTGAACATATATGTTCAATAAAAAACTATAAAAACTATGAATTAATTATATAATAGCTTACGGTTAGATCCCAAATCATGAACAGTCATGAATACAGGAGTTGTTAGTGTTATGCTAGCGATGTTACCCTGAACATATATGTTCAATACACCACTTTTCTCAGTCTTTATTTCGTATCTCTGTATGAATTATTAAATAAGTTTTTCTTTTAAAATACATATAACTGTATTCAATAACAAAAAATATTATTTATAATGTTTCTAATGTTAACAATGATACTAAAAGACATCATTTTTCATCGTGAATATTAAATTCAATAAATGCATTTACAGACCAAATACCGTTAAACTTTTTTCATGTAAATTAAAATATGAATAGTAATACTGTATTTATATGACAATTACAATAAGACCTTGCTAAATTATTTAATTATACACTACTGGAAACAATATGCAGAATAAAATATGCCGACAGTACTTTTATTTAACTTAATTTATTTCATACTTATTGTAAATATTTATGAAATATTTGATTAGAATTATACTGTACTATCATACTGTATATATTCAATTATTTTAAAAAACTATAAAAACTATGAATTAATTATATAATAGCTTACGGTTAGATCCCAAATCATGAACAGTCATGAATACAGGAGTTGTTAGTGTTATGCTAGCGATGTTACCCTGAACATATATGTTCAAAACACCACTTTTCTCAGTCTTTATTTCGTATCTCTGTATGAATTATTAAATAAGTTTTTTAAAAAATACATATAACTGTATTCAATAACAAAAAATATTATTTATAATGTTTCTAATGTTAACAATGATACTAAAAGACATCATTTTTCATCATGAATATTAAATTCAATAAATGCATATACAGACCAAATACCGTTAAACTTTTTTCATGTAAATTAAAATATGAATAGTAATACTGTATTTATATGACAATTACAATAAGACCTTGCTAAATTGTTTAATTATACACTACTGGAAACAGTATGCAGAATAAAATATGCCGACAGTACTTTTATTTAACTTAATTTATTTCATACTTATTGTAAATATTTATGAAATATTTGATTAGAATTATACTGTACTATCATACTGTATATATTCAATTATTTCTATTATCATTCGCTATATCGCTATAAAATATAATGCAACATGACTTTTTATGTGACTTTTTATATACAGTATATATTTTTCATAAGTATTCTAAATTGAAACTTTATTCTTGGAATTTAATCCAATTTTAAAATGTTTTTTAAACTTTCATTACTTAATATATTGTGTTTTATAATCTTCTGAAAATAAAGTCAAAATAATTGGATGTCAAGAGAAATGTCAAAACGATTCCTATGAGAGTTAACCGTTTTTTAAATAAATTAAACAAAATCTGTAATAATTGCAGTTCAAAAGTAAATCCTCACATAATGTTGTATGTATTTAGCAAAATGTTAAATTCAATAAAACTAAATGTCGTTTTTATACATCTATTACACAAAAGTAAATAACAATTAGTAGCGTTAGAGTCCATTTATTCTCTAAATTACTTTTTAACATAATATTAAAACTGGGGGAATAAAAAACAAAACACAAATAAACTGCAAATTCATTGTAATTCACTTATATTAGTTGCTATGAAAAAGTGTTAACAAATCAATGAAAACAAAATCTCTCCCTCGTTATTAAGTTAATTCAATTGTAAGTGTAGTCTAATGTAATGCACATTAAAAACAAATATATAAAAATCGATGACTTGAAAAATAATTATTAACATTCATGTCATTGAATACAAGAATATCAATCAAAAAGTATTTGAACACAAAAAATAAAAAACGAGAAAAACTCAAATGACATCATATTCTGAATGCAAAGAATGGCTCTAATGAATGGATAAACCACTGGCTATGGACTCAAATGGATTGACATTTATAATATATAAACACTTTTTTCTAATGTATTGACATTTGAGTGCAAAACTTAGATAAACCCCTGGGTGTGATGGTGATGTAGTGGTGTCCCATCACTTCATTTTTTGTTTTCACTTTATCCTTAAGTTACAGAATATTATACTTTTGACTGAAAGTCAATATTCTAAAGATTCTTGTTAATATTTACTGTATTTATAAAAATTGTGCTCAAATGTAAAATCAATTCCTATAAATGAGTTGAAAAAATAAATACCGTTTCCTCGACATCTTCGTAGTCGTCCGATTCGCTGGTGAGGGGACGGGCGGACATACTTCACGCAACTTTTCTATTGAGATCACAATAACAGATAGACAGAGAAAGTGTGTTTACTTTATTGAATTTTTCTTTTAATATCAATAATCAATAAAAGAGTTTTGCGTCTCTTTATCGCGAAAATACTGTCGAAAGACTTAAATGAGAAAAAATAGTTCAAAGAATATGTAAGCAAAATAAGTTACAAACAGATAGTCACAAAGGATGTGAAACTTATATCTACGGGTATAACGGTATATATTCTTTCACTTTCGTGTGTTATTTGTAAAACTGATGCAAAACTTCGATCCGATTACTGTACTTGAATATCATGTATGAGAATATAATACAGAATATACTGAATAGTGAAGCCTAAGAGAAGGGATACCACTAGGTTTGCGTGACTATAGACATGAGTAGAGTGTAGGCGCTCTATGCGCACAAATTTTGGCGTCAAAACACTTTTCCCATTAAAAATCTTGACTCCCGTAATGTCTGGGTATATCTCTCGCACATAAACAAGTCGTGTCGCAAATGCGAAGCATTGCTATAAAAAAGTTTTTATATTTTTATTTCAATTCGTTTGACTTTGAAATACTAAATAATATTTACAATAAAAAGGTAAAAAATATTACGAAATAATGGTATTGTTTTACACATTATATTATGTTAAAACCAGACTTTGAACGCGATGTAAAATATTGAAAACTAAATACAATATATATGACTAAATAAATTAATTCACAGAATAAAAATATTATCGAAACAGAAAAACAATATTAAACATAATATAAATATATTATAAGAATATTTGTGCTATTAATTAGAAAAGCACGAATTTATAATTAAAAATTGAATTATTTATGAGACTTCTTATTGATTTTATCCGAAAGAATACATTAATCCAAAAAAAATAATTCATTAAAAATTTAAATCCAAATCAATAGACGAGAATCGCAGAAAAAATTAGTGGAAATGGAGGCAATTATACGGTGCTTAACACGTCCGACACATACACTTATAGGAAAGGTATCCCGTATTCCAGAGGGCGTACAGAGGGTTGAAGCCATAGTTAGATCCGAAATAAAAGTTCATTTGATTCATGACTTGATTTAATAAATCCTTATTAGGCAATGGATTGAGGAAATTGTCGTCAATACTACGACAAAAGGCATATTCCTCTGCCAAACACTCCACTCCTGATAATTGACTTCTCAAGTCATTTAGCATTATTTGAATGAAATTGAATAACGAGATCAAAGACATGTAAAGCGTCCTCATGTCCGCCCCAAACATAGCTGACTGTCGGGCGATATTCAATGGATTGACAAACATTTCGTTAAACATTTGGGACCAGTAGTTGATTAAATCCAAACACGAAAAGTTGACAGAATTCTGTATTTGGAGGGCTGTCTGTATGGCTTGATTACCGGCAAGACTTGATGCTATGTTACCATTGAATGCTTGAGACAATAAATCGGTTGTGGCCATACAGTTGCCTATTATTATTATAAACATCGTTACAATTATAAATAATTGTTTGAAACACTTAGATGCCATAATTTTGTGTAAAATTGGTAAAACTTATGATCACTGTATTTTGTAATTAAAAATTGATTTCTATTAAAAAA